TCGCTGTGTGGAAGCGTACAGTCAGTCAGTCCAATGGGGGAGACAGTCAAATCATCACACAGGCACCCAAAACAATAACGGTTAGGTGCCGCTGATGGGCGAGGAAGGGAGTGCTAGGAATGGTAGGGAGTCCTGGTATGGCGCTGTAGGGTAAGCGGGACTGCTAACCACAAGGTTGGCCGTTCAAACCCACCAGCTACTCCTTGGAAACCCTATGCAGGGTTGGAGCGTTTTTGGTGGTGGCGGTGGTGGTTATGTGCGGTGGAGTCGGTTCCGACTCAGTGAGCCTGTACAGGGTTTCTGAGGCTGTAAATATTTACGGGAGCTTTAAAAGCCTCATCTTTCTCCCGCGGAACTGCTGGTAGTGGAGCCTTCTTGGCTACATCTAAAACAAGGAATGACAGAGACGGGTCGACAGTTTGCCTCAGGACAAATGATTGAATTGAGGACAAGTCTTCTGTCTCCCAAGCATGATATTTCATGGCTTCAGCTTGGGAGCGTGCAGCTTAAAACTGCTTTAAAATTATTATTGTTGTTGTTGTCAAGTGTCGTTGAGTCGATTCCGACCCATAGCGACCCTTGATAGAGTTTCCAAGGAGCAGTTTCCAACCTTGCAGTTCAAATGGCTTTGCAGTCTGGTGCATTAACCCACAGGGCCACGTGTTTTATTAGCCTTTGCAGAACATTAGGCTGTGATTGGAGTGATTAGAGCTCTTAGGAACCTGTGGCTACTTCAACAAAGATGAGGCAAGTATCTTTGTCAAGCTGGCCATGTGTGTGATAAAAGTTTCTATAGTATTTATGTTCTCAAGCTGCGTTTTACCCAGGAAGTTTTATTATCAACATCTGGACTCCTGGTGTAGCGCTGTAGGGTAAACCCTTGACTGCTAGCCACAAGGTCTGTAGTTCAAACCCATCAGCTGCTCCTCTGAAACCCTATACAGGGCAGATATGAGTGGAACCGACTTGATGGCATTTAACAACATTAAAATGCTGTTTTTTAAAATCGACTTTATAATGTATTTTTATCTCAGTGTTTTGATTAGAGTCATTGCAGTTGTCTCGTAAACCCCAATAGGTGGTTTGATTATATATATGTGCTCACACACGTATATATAATATATATGTATATATGTTCTCTGTTAGTGTTGTTAGGCCTCTGACATATCGTTGCAGTACTACTATGTTGCCAGCAGGTGGTAGTCTCTGAAAATGCCTTTTTCACTAGTTATCACACTTAGAATTTTCAACACATATTTTTTTTAAACTGATGTTGTCAGAGTATATTGCTCACTTTTCTAAACTGAAATGAAGAATGACAATTTGTTGAAAGTTTTCTTGACACAGATTAAAATGCACACAAAGGCATTTTTTGTAAATAAATAAATCAATAAAGGCCCAGGCCGCAGCTGCAATTTTAACATGGCCAACCTCGAACTGAGCAGGATTACAGAGTGTTGTGAAGCAGCTTCCGAAGCAGCTTCAGTGGACATGAGTGTGTGTAGCTGAGGAATACTGGCAGGCTATGGTTTTACACAGCAGAGAATGTAAGGAAGGGCAAGGCCCTTTTGAGAAAACATGCAAAGAAAGTAACATATGCTAGGCACCAAACGAACAGCTTTTTGTAGGTAACCACCAGATTTCTTATTTTAGTGAATCGAAGCTCAAGTAAATGTTAATTTACCGTGACTCTTATAGTAAATTACTGTAAGACCTGAAGTCAGAACTATTAATCTAAAAACAAAAAGACTAGTGATACATATAAAAAAGAAGAAAAAAAAAAAGGAACCACTTTATGTTTGAAGTGATATTATAACTTCTCTTATTCACTAAAAACAACAGCTTCAATAAGGTTGTTAAAAAGGAATTTCAATGTTTTTGTTTTGTTTTTTAATCTCATAAAATGGGTGGGTGGGTGGGAAGAACAGTATGTTGTTGTTGTTAAGTGCCATCGAGTTGGTTCCGACCCATAGTGACCCTGTATAGGGTTTCTGAGGAACAGCTGGTGAGCTTGAACTGCGGACCTTGCAGTTCAAATGGCTTTGCAGTCTGGTGCGTTAACTCACAGAGCCACACCAGGACTTCAGTGAAGTATTAAATGAAAAGATAATGGAATTTTTCCTCATAGGCTTGATAGTGGTGGTAATTGTGTGCAGTGGAATGGGTCCCACTCATAGGGACCTTTATAGAGTATGGGAGACTATAAATCTTTTTTAAAATTTTTAACTTTTTGTTGTAAGTTGAGTGAAGGTTTACACTGCAGATCATCAATTTTAAATTCAACAAATTATATACTTTGTTTCATTACAATGATTGCAATCTCCTCCATGTACAGCTAGCTAACAGTATTTACTTCTATTAATTTTAACTCTTGCATTTCTCCTTGTGTCCCCTGCTACCTTCACATCACCTCTACCAAACCTCCCTCTTGTTGTATGTTGTTGTTAAGTGCTGTCAAGTTGGTTCTGAGTCATAAGTACCCTATATAGAATTTCTGAGAAGAGACTGGTGAGCTTGAAGCACCATCCTTGTGATTCAGACTGACCTTGCAGTGTAGTGCATTAACCCACAGCGCCATAAATATTTATATTTTTATCCTTTGAAAGTAGATTTGTACTGCTGACTTTGTTGTTAGTAGCCCAATGTGTAAACCAGTATGCCACCAGAGTTCCTTCTCATAGGCTTAAGTTTAATTAAAATAAAAAATGAATTGTCATACTTAGTTGCCCTTTCGTTTTTCATGTCTTTGCACGTAACCATTTGTTGTTTTTGTTGTTAAGTGCCGTGGGATCGTTTTCGACCCATAGCGACCGTCTATAGGGTTTCCAAGGAGCAGCTGGTGAGCTTGAACCTTAAGGATCAAATGACTTTGTAGTCCAGTGCATTAGCCATTAGAACCTTAAATTCTACCCCCAATTTTTTTTTTTTTAACTGGTATTTTTATTAGTAGCTCTCCTCCCATCTGATATATTCGGTCTCCCATAGTGCATTTATTCTCATTCTTACCCAGCCAACATATCCTGCAATTGATTATCTAGATCTTTGTTGTTGTTGTTAAGTGCTGTTGAGTTGGGTCTAACTCTGACCCTGTTTAGGGTTTCCAGGGTTTTAAAATCTTTGCAAACAAAAAGTTGAATGAACTCCTAACAGGATAGATCACAAAAGAAAATCATCAAGACATAACCATAATCAAACTTTCTACATCCATAGACAAGGAAGGAATCCCGAAAGCAGCTCGGAAAACCAAAAAATTAACTGCAAATGAGAATCAATAAGACTAAGCTCTGATTTCTCAGCAGAAACCATGTAGGCAGGAAGGCAATGGGATGACATATGCAAACTCCAAAAAAAAAAAAGATTGTAAACCAAGGATCATATACAAACCTTGCAAAGTTGCCACATAATTACAGTTAGTGAAATTAGGACATTTACTGATAAGCCAAAATTAAAGGGATTTGTAATGACCAGATCAACCTTACAAAAAAGGCTTAAAGGTGTTCTTTGGAAAAACAAAACCAAATGCCATCAAGTCAGTTTATACTCATAGCAATCCTGTATGGGGATTCTGAGGTTGTAAATCTTTATGGGAGCAGAAAGCCTCATGGTATCCTGTTTGAGGTTCATTCAGCTTTTAGTATGCTTATCTTGTCTTTCATGATACTAGGAAAGTTTTCCTCCAACAACTCTTTGACAGTTTTTTCTGTGCTTGTAATTAAAACAACTCACCCATAAATTGTTCCTCTTCATAGTGTAGTTCCTCTAGCATACTAGTATTGAGAGATTTCTCTTCAAGGTCAGTAATTCAGGCTTCTGTTGCTTCAGATCCACTCCTTTGCCCTTTCAATGTTTTGTCCGTTCCTGAAATGTTAGTATTAATCATCTGGATTTCTAATTGTAGGTTTTGTATCATTTCAAAATTTATGTTTATTTTGTCTGTTTGTTCTTATAGTGTTTTCCTGAATTCTTCTAAAGTTTTTATTGTGCTCTTCCTTCCTTTCCTGGATCTTTCTATCAATCCTTTGAAGGTACCTAATTATCATTCTTTGTATTCTTTTTCAGTTAGTTCTATTACCTGTTCTTCCTCAGAAACATTTTCTGGCTCTGCATCTTTGTCATTTGTTTGACCCATTCTCTCTTGTTTCTTTGTGTGAGCTAATATTGTTTGTTGTTTCTAGGGCATTGTGAGGTTGTCATGTTTGTAAAAACAAACAGAGCAGTTAGATGGACCTTGTGGGGAAAGATCTCTGGGGGGGTTCCTGCCACTCAAGCTCATCAGGTGGTTTTGGAAGGGATGTGACAGCAGAGTTCCTGATCCTAGATAGAATTCCTATTGGCCTGTGTTCAGGGCACTCAATCCAGAATTAGTTCATGGAGGGCCTTGATGGAGCTGGTTTTAGTGTCTGTTAGGACCACAGGAAAGCTGGGGGGCAGCGTGACTGGTTTAATGCTGGTCTGATGGATCTGTAGAGCTGAGCCCACCTGAATCCAGGCACCGAAGTGGCACACCAAAGTGGAGCAGCTGGTTTCCACCTCACACTGGTGTAGCTCCCAACCTTGTGGCTCTGAAATCCTGGAGAGCAGTGTCTGTGCTGGGGGTAGATGAGGGTGGGAGCTGGCCACACTTCTGGTCACCGGGGTAGATGAGGGTGGGAGCTGGCCACACTTCTGTTGCCTACATGTGTATGCTCTGCCAGGCCTCCTGCTGCTGGAGCTGCTCACAAAGTGGTCGAGCTGCATCTGGCCACCCCTTTCGCTGTCCCTGCTTGTTCTCTCCTCCTAGCAAGCACTCCATCCACCTTTCTAACCTTTCTTTGAAGTTCAGGGTGCCAGAATTTTCACCCTTGTCTTTTACTTTCTCTCTCGTATCTTTGTTATAGAGGGTCTGTGTAGTGCATATACCTAGTCTTCCATCTTGCCAGACACCCTTTCCTCTTAGATTGTCTTGAAAATGAAGTTAGAAAGCAGCTTTTAACCATCTATCTTTTGATTTTTCTTATAGTATGGAAGATTCCCACAAGAGTAACACCTCAGAGACAGCACCTCAGTCCAGTTCAGCAGTTCAGGGAGCTCACATCTCTCATATTACTCAACAGGTAAAGAAGGAGCCAGCCATAATACTGAGCCAGTTAAGAATCATCTTCTTGCAGATTAATGTTTCAGATCTTTCATTATTAATGTTTCAGTAGAGAACCAAGCTAAAAAGATCGTAAAATGTTAAAATATAAGGAAGAAAGGTGGATTTGATTTAAATATACTGTCAAGATCACTTGGCTTTATTTTCTCTTATGTAAAGTATATTTGTTGACTTTTAAGTGCCATGGGGTCATTTCAACTCATAGCAACCTTGTATAGAGTTTCCAAGGAGCAGCTGGTGGGTTTGAACTGCTGACCTTGTGGTGGAGGGTCAGAGAAAAAGAGGAAGACCCCCAACGAGATGGATTGGCCAAGTGGTGACATCGATGGACTCAAGCTTGTCAACAGTAGTGAGATTGGCCCAGGATTGGGCAGTATTTCGTTCTGCTGTGCATAAGGTCGCTATGGGTCAGTACTGACACCTAACAACAACAAACAGAGTCATGGAATGAGATGAGATTATTGGCGGGAGGAGCATACGGAGGGGTGGTGAGTAGAGTCAGATTGTTGTGAATTGCTGTGGAGTCATTTCCGACTCAATAGTGACCCTGTGTAGGGTTTCTGAGGAGCGGCTGATGTGCTTGAACTGACCTTGCAGTTCAAACCAACCTTGCAGTCCAGTGTGTTAACCCACAGCACCACACCAGTACTCTGTAGTCAGATTCCAGGTCAGTGAATTTGACTCTGGGACTTTCTAACATTTGGAATTTGGGAAGATGAGGAATTAGCAAGGAAGGCTGAGAAAGGGTAATCAGTGAAGTAGGAAGGATATCAAGAGAAAGGGGAATCTTAAAAATTAAGAATGCAGTAATGGTCAACTGATAGATCAAGTAAGATGAAGTGTGAAAATTAACTTATATTTGGCAGCATGGAATTCATTGACAACCTTGGCAAGAACTGTTTCAGTGAGAGTAAAATTCTAATTTGATTCCTGAGAACATTGGAAGAGAGGAGGGGAAATAAGCATACACACTCAAAGGACAAAATGAGTAAACAACCCCTTTGAGGAGTTTTATGTAAATGGAAGCTGAGAAATGAAGTTGCTGGAGGAAATATGGGTCTTAAAAGTTTTATTTTTTTAACATGGGAGGGATTGGCATGGTACAATAGAGGGGGAAATTTGATGATGTAGGAGAAAAAGGAGAATTCACTAGGATGATGTCCTTGAGGAGAAGGGGGAATGAGATGTGGAGGGAATGAGGAGAGGGGGGAATATTACAAGTGGAGAAATTGACCTTCTGTGAGCTCAAGTGTTTGTTGTTAATTACCAGCATGTTGCTGTCACCCTACAGGGATCTCATGTGTGCAGAGTGGAACTGCTCCATAGGGTTTTCAAGGCTGTGACCTTTCAGAAACAGGTTGCCAGGCCTGTCTTTTGAGGCTCCTCTGGGTTTGTTCAAAGTGCCAGCCTTTTGGCTAGTAGTTGAATTAGTTAACTGTTTGTGCCACCCAGGGACTAGGTCATTCATAATAAGAGAAAAGGTAGGTAAGTAGATTGTGAATGACATACAATAAAAATTATTTTCTGATAAATTCTTTGTTTTTCAGTGAAATAAAATACTTGAGACTGTAGAGAGGAAGGAAAGTATCAATTAGTCTTCTGGGAGAGTGGGGAAAAGCAATGGACTAAGGATATGTAGTAGGATTGCTGGACAGCACTAATCATTACTGATTATGAATTTAAAATGAGACTATGAAGTTTCATTGTGTGTGTTTTTCTCCAGCCACATTTAGGTACTTGCATGCAGGTTACAGACTTGAAGTAGATGAGTAACCAGAAGTGTGGTTTAGTTGAATGACTGTAGTCAAAAATTTTTCCATGAACTTTTTGAAGCCTCCTTGTGTATGTATGTGGGTAGGGAGCAGGGTGCCACTGGCATTTAAGGGGTAGGGACTAGAGGTATGGAATACCTTGCATTGAACAGGATATTCCTGTACAGGGAAGGATTGTCTTGCCCACAGTGCCTATTGAGAAGTCCTGTAAGGTATGACTGAGGAGGGTGAAATACTAAACTTTGTAGGATAGGAGCTCTGGGAAAACAAAAACAGGCACAAGCAGTAGAAGGATATTGGATGTTGGCTATTAAAATAATCACAATTTTTTTTTTTCTTTTTAAAACTCTAACGTATTTGTGGGATATATAAATATATAAGGGCAGTCAAAAATTATCCCCACTCTGGTTGTAAAACTTATTTTAATCAACTTTTAGAAAAGAGAAATACATCATTTTTCGACCTAATCTTTTTGCTTTTCAATACACTTTGCCCATCTGTCAACAACTTTTTGCATTCCCTTATTAAAAAATGTTTTAGGCTGAACTGTGACCCATGAATGTACTGCTATCTTTACTTCTTTATCAGAGGTGAACCTTCATCATAGAAGGGTTGCTTTTAGGGAACCAACAGGTAAAAGTCCGAAGGAGCTAGATAGGGCTATCAGGAGGATGCTTTAACAACTCAAAATGAAGATTTTGCAGAGTATCAACAGTATTGGCAGAGATGTGTGGACGTGCATTGTAATGCAAGATCACAATGCCCTTGGATAGCAGTCCTCTGCATTTAATTAGTAGTTTAGGCTTCAGCTTTGCAGTGAGCAGCTCACTGTAATGAGCACTGTTGATTGTTGAATTTTTTTCCTGATAGTATTCCAGAATGGCCCTTGAGAATCCCAGAAAACGGTAAGCGTCAATTTTCCAACTGATGGTTGACTTTGGACCATTTTTGGTTGGTGATTGAGGATATTTCCATTTCATACTCTTTTATTTACTCTCAGGCTCATAGTGATGAATCCATGTCTCATCACCACTAATGATTTTTTAAAACTTATACTTTCCTTTGAGTATTAGTCCAAATTTTGTTTGTGGATGTCCAAATGCTTCTGTTTATGCTCTGCAGTTAGTTGTTTTGGTACCTATCTTACACAGACTTTTCAAAACCTAAGTCATGGATTATTTTATACCAGGGTCATGGCTGATTTCCAAATGATTTGCCACATAAACTACTGTAACTTGTCTATTTGACAGAATCATTTCACTGCACATTCAGTGTTGTCATCAGCAATGGACATGGACAGATTTTTTAGTATAACTGGAGTGTGTATAATTTTTGACTCAACCTCTGATATATATCCCACTCTTCCTCCCTTACTTTCTCAGCCTATGTCTTAATCCATGTATCTACTCACAGAGCACTGTTGTTCCAAGGTTGTGTATATATCACTATTTACATATATTCCTTATAGCCCGTGCATACCTCCCTGTGTTTTCACCTATCTTCATTATTCATCTGCAACCCTCCGCTTATATATTGCCCTCACCCTTCTTCTTGTATATTGTATATTGTTCTCCCATCACCCGAGCTAACCTGTGCCTACTCTGTAGCCAGTGTATTACCCCCACCCTCAGCCTCCTGTAACCATCAAAGAATGTTTCTTTTAGCCTGGAAACCCTTTCTTTAGGTATTACAATAGTGGTCTCATACAATATTTGTCCTTTTGTGATTGACTAATTTTACTCAGCATAATGCCTTCAAGGTTCATCCATGTTATCAGGTGCTTTGCAGATTCGTCATTATTCTTCATGGTTGCATAGTATTCCATTGTGTATATGTACCAAACTGTGTTTATTCATTCGTCCATTGATGGGCACTTAGGCTGTCTCCATCTTTGTGTTATTGTGAATAATGCTGCAATGAACATTGGTGTGCATGGATCTGTTCATGTCCTGGCTCGTATTTCTTGTGGATATATACCAAGTAGAGGGATTGCAGGGTTGTAAGGTATTTCTAGTTCCAACTTTCTGAGGAACCGCCATACCATTTTCCAGAGTGGTTGAACCAGTTTCCAGTCCCACTAGCAATGTGGCGCTGCAGGATAATGCTCTGGATCTCAAGGTCAGTTTGAACTGCAAGATTGGTGGTTCAGACTCCACCAGCTGCTCCTTGGAAACCCTATACAGGGTCACTATGGATAACTTGACAACACTTAATAACAACAACCAGCAATGTAGAAGGGTCCCAGTCTCTCTACACCCTCCTCAGAATTTGTTATTTTCTGTTTTTTTCAAATTTATTTTCAAATTTATTGGAGTACAACTCTTCATAGTATTCTGTTATTACCCTTTTTATTTCCATTGGTTCTATTATGATGTCACCCATATTGTTTCTTATATGTGTTATTTGAATCGTCTCCCCTCTTTGGTTGTATTTACAAATGATTTGTCAATTTCATTAAGCTTTTCAAAGAACTAACTTCTTGTATTATTTATTCTTCCTGTTGATTTTCTGTTTTCTAGTTCATTTGTTTCTATTCTAGTCTTCATTTTTTTCTTCTGGTGACTGTGGGCTTACTTTGCTGGTCTTTTTCTAATTTTTGGAGATGTTGTTGTTAATGTGTTAATTTTGGTTCTTTCTTCTTTTTGGATGTATGGGCTTTCTATAAATTGTACTCTAAGCACTGCTTTTGCTGTTTCCCAAAGGTTTTGGTATGTTGTGTTTCCTTTCTCATTTGCTTCAAGAAATTTTTTAGTTTAATTCTTATTTGTTCTGTTACCCAGTAGAGTTTTGGTGTGATGCTGTGGGTTAATGTGCTGGACCGCAAAGTCAGTTTGAACTTCAAGGTCAGAGGTTCAGGCTAACCAGCCGCTCTTTGGAAACCCTATACAGGGTCGCTAAGCATTAGGGCTGACTTAACAAAAACAACAGTTATCCATGTATTTAATTTTGTTTCCTTGATCTTCCTATTGCTAATTTTCTAGCATTGTGATATGAGAAGATGGTTTGTAGTATTTTGATGTTTTTGAATTTATTGATGTGACCTAACATATGGTCTCTTCTGGAGAATGTTCCATTTGCACTGGAAAAAAAATGTGCATTGTGCTGTCATTGAGTTGAGTGCTCTGTGAGGTCAAGTTGACTGACGTTTAATTCCTGTGTCTTTGTTGAATTTCTTTCTGGTTGTCTG